CTCTCTGTGGTGTGACAGTGTTACTTTGCTGCCATTCAGTTTGCATACTGATGTGTCTTGATTGTTTGTAATTATAAGTACAAGATAGTCTAATATAGCATATAACATCTCCATTGACTGTAGCTTGATTTTTCAAAATGTTTAAATTTGTAAATGATGCAGCCAGACATGTAAGGTGAAATGCATTAGGGGACATTTATCAATTCTGTCACATGGCAAAACAGAAATAAACATGGGCCGTGAGACAATTTGTGAGATAGATTTATTACAAGGTTACAGTATTTTTAATAATATTCTTGGCAGCTCTAAAGTAGCACTACAACAGAATAAAACCTGACTTCTAAAGTAAAAATCTGGCACATCTTAAGTAATAGATCTGTCTCAAAATTTTGCATATGGTCGCTTTTGGCTGACCAAGAATTCAGATGCACAACTCTGTACGCCTGTTGAAGACTTTTCCTGCAGCCTGATTTGTGACTAATTATGTTACTAATTTGCTTGATAAATGTCCCTGATTGAATTTGCATTTTCACTAAATACATTGAGCACACATATTTATCCAAGTAAATATCACAAAACAGTGAGAGATGTTTCTATGTAAGAGGTTGATTTTTGACTCACCCATTAGCCAGATTGTTTGAGTTCCATCTAGAGTGATAGATAACTTTACTCACAGAGATAACCTGCTCAGTGCCATCATTCTGGTAGATGTTGTGATCTCCCAGTGAAACACGGTAGGTAGCTGGACTGAAACACAGGAAATTAAGTGTTAAGTTAGCAGTTGACATGTCATGAATAAAAGGATCCAAGTGAAGTCTTATTTGGGCAACACAGCAGCTAAGTGGTTAGCACTCTTGTCTTGCAGCTTGAGTTCAGTTCCCACCAGGGACATTAGTGCATGGGAGATTGCATGACCTCACTCTGGACACTGTGGCTTTCGACCACACTAGTAGGTAAAACCAATCTTAAGTTTGCTTGGACAAGCATAAAATCCACTGTTCCAACATTCTGTTGCCCAAAGAACCGTTGTTCTGTGTAAGAGCAGCATTCTCTCTACAGTGGTCAAACATACCCCATGCGTTGACAACTACAGCTCTTCAACAGGCAGGGCTGTATCTGCTAGTGAAGAGGATGAAGTGTGGCTCTTTAAGCAGTCTTACCTGTCTACACAGTGAGCAGCAGTCAGCACCCAGTTGGTACGGATCAGGGAGCCCCCACAGGTGTGGTACCAGTAACCACCAGAGAGGTATTGTAGACTAACCTAGGAAAAGCAGATTTACATCTGTAATTGAATTCTTTTTGCTAGCTGCAGTGCTGGTCAGCATAATTAAAGTAGACATGAACTCAAGAAGTGAGGATTTGTGATGTTATAGGGAATATACAAAATACTATTTGTGCTTGTGCAGTACCCCGAAAGCTTTACAAGAACCGCCAGCTTTCACATATGCAGAGAAGGACCCCAGCGTCGTGTAAGGCTGCCCTAAACGCCTGTCTGCATCAGACAGGAATTTTGCAGGGTAACTTAATGCAGCACCATCATCCTTCCTCTGCATTTGTGGAAGCCGGCGGTTCTTGTAGGCGCCGCTGGTCTTGGAGCACAAGGGTGCATTTTGTGCAGAATGCACACTCCTTGCTATTGCCGGTGTTGTATCTTGACACAACAACGGGATTTACACAGAGTAGGTACCTGCATGATGCCCTTCTATGGAGGGCACCTGTAGGCATGTGCCTACTCTACCTAATGGTGAATCCGGTCCTGGAAGCCACACTGCCTTGTCAAGGCCCCTCTGTGTGGTGTTGTTCTAACTCTCATCTATGAAAGCCTCCATCGTGGAGCATATATAGCAAAGGATGAATTGGATACAGGTACACTTGGAGGTAGCCCAACCTCCACAAAGGCACAGGATTTGGTATGGGGACGCACTGGGGGCTTCAGCTGCCTTTATGATGCGTGGGGCCTTTGGTGTGTCCCTGTGCCTTTAAGGAGGAATGGGCTACCTCCAGGCATACCTTCACTCAATCTATCTTTTGTGTGTATGTGTGTGTGTGTATGTATGTGTATATATATATATGGGTCTTGACGAGGAAATGCAGCTTCCACATATTTTGCAGAAGTTGTGCAACTAAAACCTCTGTTTTTAACGCTGATAGATAGATAGTGTAATTTGTTTTTTTGCAGGCTAGCTGATGAGTGTGCTGGGAAATTGTTGTGTTTTTGTTCCACAAACACCAGGACACGGCAAGGCAAGACACTCCCCTGCTCTCTGCTCCTTCTTCCTCCCTCCTCTCCCTTCTCTTCTCTAAGCTAGTAGTCGATAGATAGCTGATGGAGACTGGGCTGCCCCTTGTGATCTTGTACTGGGCAGGAGGTTTAAGGGAAGCCAATCTGAGACAGTTGGAGCCAGCTGCCCAGAAACATGATGACTGTATGTGTTTTGGCAAAAATTTAAACAAATAGTTTGCTGGGTGATGTATATTTAAAATTAAATTGCAAGGAAGAAGCTAATCACACTGTTCAAAGACCATACATATACTGTATTTGAACTGTTTTAATTATCAGACAGTGCACCCAGGTCCGTACAGGTCCGTAATTTTCAGCTCTGGCAAATCAAGACTGTGCTATATAATTGTGAGACTGGTATCCTTTGGCACCAAATTATCATATCAGGTGCCAAATAAAGAAGGTATGCTGTTGAAGAGGGTCAGTCAGTGTTAGGGAATAGATTAGGGGTTACGTTAGGTTAAGTTAGAATTGGAGTCAAGGGTTTATTCTGCATAAATTTGTAAGTAAAATAAGACATCCCAAAATAATTTAACAGATCCTATTTTATACTTATTAATATAGTTGCTGACCTGCCATGGCCAACTATTTTTTTTAGCATCAGTTCCTCCTACAACACGTCCGTTGTCATTGGCAACTCTTACTTCCTCATGGCAATAACCTAGGGACATTATAAATGCAAGTAAATGTAAAATATTTTAGATATTAGAGACCTTCAAGAAATAAACAGATTTTAGATGTTACAGGCATGGACAGTCCAATATTTACAGCATACCTTGGATATTTCAATAGAAAGTCTCGCTTTTTCAGTTTTGTATGTCTTTTAGACAGAAGCGACGGATAGCTGGGTATGAGATTTGAGTTTGGATCGAGATAGAGTTTGACCTGAACTTTACATGTCTGCAGTTCAGGAAAATGGCAAACTATTGGATTTGTTCGCTGCAGTACCAAAACCTAATTACTAATATTACATTTCATGAACTGTGGTCAGGTACAGTGGCGTAACAACCAGGGGGGCTGCCCCAAGCACAGAGGTGTTGGGGCAGTGAACACAGTTAAACAGGCAATTTATGCGGCTTCTCATTGGGGTCTTGGCCACGAGGACCCAGCAAGTGGCCGCCTGATAAGGTTCTGCCTCTAGCTTTGACCCGCAGTTTTGCCTCCTGGCTCCCACAGTGGGCAGCCGGGAGTTTCGAGTGCCAAAGCCAAAATCTTTAAATCTGGCTGGTGTAGGCGGGCAGAGTGGATTGTGGCACTGGGCTAGGTAATCATGATGCATACAAAGGCTGATAGCATTGGAACGTCCACCGGCGGCTACAGGAAAGGTAAGGCTGAGGGAAATTCTACATTTCTCTGTAAAGCAATTGAATGAATTGGCTCAGAAACACCTGTCTACCATACTGGCCATTTCTGTGACAGTGGTGGATTATTAATGCTTCCCTCATTTTTTGAACATAGAGAAATGGTAGTTTTGTTGCCATTTATTAATATTAGCCTCTGGCTGTGACCTGTGATTTCATCCTCTTGGCTCCCACAGTGGGAGCCAATTATTATTCATGGTTTGCTTCCTTCCTGAAGAGTTTGTGAGAATCTATTTCTATATTGGTGGTAATCCGATGTACTCTACATGTGTATTTATGGCGATCGTGATGTAAAATTGTCCCTGCCCTGCTTTGTGAGGTAGTGGTGGTTGCCCTAAATAATTGGGATACCAAGGTCGGACCCACCATAGCACCCTCTCCCTTCCATTATGCTCTATGTGCCAAAATAATTCCTTTGTGAGTTTCCATGTCCACCTGTCACTCCTCAGAGTGACCTGAAGTAGCCCAGAAACCGTGTGGTAATCGAGCAGGCTTGGTAGTAACTATGAGGGAGCCGAGATGACGAAACCACTGGTCATAGCCAGAGGCAGGTCTCTAATCACACCTGCCTATTGCCCGCTATATGCTAACAGTGCAGAGTTGCACTGCAGCCTGGAAAGATCCTGACAATATTGTTGGGATCCACACCTCTGCCTGATTGACAGCTGGCTCTTCCTCTCTAGAGGTAGAGCCAACTGTGCCTGCCCCTACCCCTGTCTGTCCCTCCAGCCAGTGCTGGAGCAACCAAGAGGGGAGGGGGAATCCCTGTGGGGAGCGGTGACTGACAGTCATCACTCTCTGCAGGGAGAAGATCGGTCGATCAGCGGTTTGTGATCTCTCAGTTCTTGAGCTATAGAGACGACGTGTGACAGTTGCAGTGTCACATGTCGGCTCAAATTATGGGAATGATTGTATTTCATTCTTCCCATAGTTCTCCTTTATTGAGATGTCTTGTCTTTATTGAATCCCTTGTTGGTTATTTGATTCCTGTATTCAGCCCAGCTTTACTAACATGAATTTGTCCCCATTTGGTTTACTCTGTTGTGATCCAATGTATTCGTATATTGCCAGTGATCCTCTGTATTGATCTGCTGTCACTGATCCAATGTATTGATCTGCTGTCACTGATCCAATGTATTGATCTGCTGTCACTGATCCAATGTATTGATCTTCTGTCACTGATCCAATGTATTGATCTGCTGTCACTGATCCAATATGCTGTCAGTGGTCCAATACACTGATACGCTGTCTGTGATGCAGAGCACTGATATACTGTCAGTGATCTAATGCACTGATATAGTTAGTAGTGTTGGAGTTGAGTGAGATAAGGACAGGTGACAGTCAGCGCGGCTTCAGGGAGACATAATTACTACTGTACGGTGCTATATTCCAAGATATACAATGCTATATAAAGTGCTGTATAGTGCCCTTACTACATTACAGTGAACTGTAGTGGTGAGCTACAAAGAGTAGAGTGTACCCCCCTGCTCTGCATTTATGTATTGATCTGCTGTCACTGATCCAATGTATTGATCTGCTGTCACTGATCCAATGTATTGATCTGCTGTCACTGATCCAATGTATTGATCTGCTGTCACTGATCCAATATGCTGTCAGTGGTCCAATACACTGATACGCTGTCTGTGATGCAGAGCACTGATATACTGTCAGTGATCTAATGCACTGATATAGTTAGTAGTGTTGGAGTTGAGTGAGATAAGGACAGGTGACAGTCAGCGCGGCTTCAGGGAGACATAATTACTACTGTACGGTGCTATATTCCAAGATATACAATGCTATATAAAGTGCTGTATAGTGCCCTTACTACATTACAGTGAACTGTAGTGGTGAGCTACAAAGAGTAGAGTGTACCCCCCTGCTCTGCATTCACTGTGCTGTATAGTGCTACAATAATGTGAATTGTATTGTGGTGGGTTACATATTATTCGCAGTAGACCCAACAGTCCAGTTTTTCATTTTATGTTACATCTTTCTTTTTTTTCTCATAGGAAAAAATCATATAGAAAAAAGAAAAGGGTTATGGGTTATAGTTTTATGGGGTTGGGGGTTTATGGTTTTACTTATAATTTTTTTCTAGGAAGGTATATTTTATGCCCAGATAATTTTAATAGGGTGTTTAATTATTTTTCATGGTCAGCAGTGTGAACTTGCTGCTGACACAGGCCAGGATGCCCTTTGTTAGCAGCATACCACGACATACTGTTGCAGTCCAGTTTACTACACAAAAATATCACATTATGAAGTGCACCAAAGCACTACATTCTCAATCCCCCTATTGCCACAAATGATAAAAAATTAGACACCCCCCTGTTTTTATTATGTCTAAGGGGCCTTAGGGGAGAGGCAGAGGTCCTTCAAGTCTCCTAACCCCACCCCCCATCTCTAGCTGCATTCATGACCAGGCATGTGTCTCTTCCCTAGCTGCTGGAACATAAGAATTGCTATTCATCAAGTCTGCCTTAGCTTGGCAAAATTGCTGGCTTTCAGCTGCTCCAGTTCCAGCTGATAAAGTCTGCCCCCTTCTGCAACCTTGTGGACTGTACTGCACCACAGTGGCAGGTACCCAGACTCCATATTTTTGGCCCAGAAGACCATCCTTACCCTGCACCAGAATGTCGAAGCTAATGTCACCGTTTTACTAGACCACGGAGTCCAGACTGGATCCACATGATCACAAACACGTGGTCCAGCAAGTGTGGGCAGGGATGTTTACACCTCTTTTATGGCACAATGGGTAACTTTGCTGACAGCAAATTTACGATAAGTTCAACAAACCCAAGCACATTCGCTTATCACTACTGATATTGGCCATTTTGAGTTTCTGTAATTGTTACTTCAATTACTGCACTGTGAACTGCTTGTGACAGTTTGCATTTGTCCAATAAGATAGGTTTGAGAGAAGCTTATTATCAAAATTATACTTATTTTATTTAGTACTGTTGGAATGTTAATATGACAGGTTGTAGGAACAAACCATCATTTCCAGTATGCTCTGTGTTGCTACATTGCATTATGGGAGGCTTATTTTAGAGAAAAATGAAGGTATTTCCATCAAATAAATGTAAATGAGACATAAATATTAGCATGAGCTGAAGTTTCTAAAATGATTTTAATCTGGGCTCCCAGAGATCAGCTTTAACTTTAGACCCTTTGGCATGTTTTAAAAGTAAAACTATGCTTTTCAGTAATTTCTTTAATTCATACATTTTTAAACTAATTTTGTTATATTCTTTTTTACAGCAGGAGCTGTTTATCATCAAACTGTCTCTATGTAACTGAAATTTCATAGGTTCCTAGCTGGCAGTGTACAGGAGGGTAGGAGATGAATTATTGCTTTTAATCATGCAATGTGTGTGTGTGTGTGTAAATATGAACTTAAAGTGACACTAAACTCAGGAGTTGAAGAGGAAATTTACCCATATCTTTAAAATCACAACAAACACACCTTTAGAAATGTTTAGTAATGACAATCTACAAACACATACTTCTAGATAATCGTCGGCTTTGTAATCGTTGCATATCTTATTTCTCTTCTCTTCCCCAGTCTTCTGGCAGTGGCCATTTTTGCTAAGGGCAGGTTTCTAGATCTCTCTTTACTTCCTGGATTTCTGGCAAATTTTGTTTGTTCGTGCATCACTCAGCTGTAGATATTTAAATAATCTCTGAATTAGTGCTGACACTGTCCTTCCTTCTGGAGGGTGGCTACTTTTGTTCCCCATGATCCCTGAGCATGTTGTAAAGTAGCCACCGCTACAAGCTCGCTCTTGTGATGGACTACAATCAAAGGAATGAGCTTGGACCGGTGATTACTTTAAAACACACACGGAGACCATGGGGAACAAAGTAGCCACCCTCCAGAAGGAAGGACAGTGTCAGCACCAATTCAGAGATGATTTGGGGATCTACAGCTGAAAGATACACTAATAAGATACATTTTAGTTCATAATTAAGGTACTTGAATTCATTTTTAAGATTTAATTCCTGAGTTTAGTGTTGCTTTAAGCAATTGACTCTGTATACAGAACTTTTATTTTCAACAAAAAAGTCAAGAATAGACACGTAAAGAGAAAGACAGGCAGGTAAACATAGAAACAAATGCTAAAGTCCATTACTATACAGCACCATGGCTTGTATATGTAACATGCAGCTATGGATTTAGCTTCCATACGCATCTCAGCCTGAGAATACCCAATCAAATTTCAGATATCAGGAGGCTATGCATAATTTTGTTTAAAAACCCAAAAAACAGACAAACACTCCTTTGCATTACATTGTGTTTTCCTGGTAATTCATAGCTCAGATCCACAAGTCACTACATACATTTTAGTCTATATTATAATAGGAATTGTAATCTTACCAGACAGGACAAGCGCAGCAATCACTAGCAGACGAAGCATTGTAAGACCTTTTGCCAGTAGCATTTCATGCTCGAGCAGTGACCTCTCATTTATAGTCCTGGTAGGAAAATTTTATCACTACTAGTAATGGGAATATACCCAGATGTTCCACATAACATAGTTGTCCTTTCTCTAGTTTTTTTTTTTATGTTATCTTACATAACAAAGTCAAATATACAAATGTGTAATTACTGTTATAAATAGAAATGGGACCAAAAGAGTACATGAACCTGCAATATTTTTGTGTAATGAAATAAAAGAAATGTACAGGCAAAAACTACATTACAGTAGCAATACAAAACACTTTCAAGACCCCAAGACAGGGGACTTGTGTTTGTGTGGCTCAATAGTCAGTTATGGCTCCGTTGGGCATGTTTGCACAGGAATGCTAAAGTAAGAGCATTTTAGGTTAAAGTTCTAGTTTGCAGTGAATCAAATCTGCAGTGAATGGTGATCAACAGGCAATCAGAAATCCATGTGGTAAGTCTTTTGACTTACTGATGAATCACTGCTAAAATCAGTTGTTTACTGTTTTAAAACAGTAAATGTTTAAAAGCCACCAGCACCAATAAAGGTATGTGTATGTTGGCGAACAGCAAACCTGCCACTCTGATCGGTGAATGGCTAGCAAACTGTTGGCCTTGGCCAGCTTTAACATTCCTAGTAGTAGAGTGCAGCAGACTTATTTAAGTATATTGATTGTTCCTTGTGATAAAACTAAACAGTATATTGGACATAAAAATTCTACACACCACTGAAAAAATGCCAGTTTTTAAGATATAACAAAAATCAGATTTTTTTACAGGGGGCACCTCAATTAAAAACAAACGAAAATCTTTTAGTGCTCATTCAAATAGGCGTGTGCACGTCCGTACAGCATGCACACCCATGCAAAGACCAGATGCCGGGAGGGACAGATGCTGCATGTAATTGCATGCAGCAGCCTGTACCTTCCAATAGGAGGACACGGCTGCATGCAGTTACACACAGTTACACACAGCCTGAACCTGTAGATCCGTGCGGGTCCAGATGCCTGCATTCGGATGCACACTGTCTGTATCCAAGTGCAGACACTGGGATCTGCACGGATGCGCAGGTTCATAACTTGTTTCAGGTGATAACTTCCTGCCATGTTTCCTCGGAGTGATGATTGCCCACACAGAGCATATATACTGTATTGTTGTTTTGTCAGTTACACCCCTGTTCCCTCAGTGTGATGAGTATTCTCCATTTTATTGCTGCTATTCCTCACCATCCCCTTGCTGCTTCCCTCTGTTGGCCCTAAAACTGGTTCTTAATGTTAGGATGTGGGGACAAAGTCATGTGACCACTGTGATTGGCTGTCACAGCAGTCACATGATCTGGAGCTGGCAGGCGCCACATGACTAGTGATGAGACCTTCTGTAGAGTGGGGGGCTCCTGAGATCATTTCTCTGCTCTCCAATCCTCCCCACCTCCTGTTGACTTTCAAAGGCAGAAGTCCGCAAATCAAAACAGCAGAGGGCCTGCACAGTGGGCACCGAGACAAGCCAGGACATGTCTGCTGCGTTGTAATTAAACGGCTGGACAGCGGCTTCTTGAATGCGGGTGGGCGTCTTTAGACATCCCATACCGTCCCGCTTGTGCCTGCCGCTAGGCGGCGTGCACGAGCCGGAAATCGGCTTTGAATGTAAACAGCCAGCGATGGCTGTTTACATACAAGCGTTCGGGCATCTATAGAGACGCCCGATCGCTTGTAATATGCGTGCGGGTGTGCGTCCCATCCCCCACCGCAGCAGCTGCTGCTGCCGATCCCGAGCTCCATGGTGTGGACCTCGGGACCGGCACAGCAGCTCTGCGGCCAGAGATCAAACGGAGCTCAGTACACTAGCTCCGTTTGATCTCCTCCTCCTCTTCGGAATGCAGGCAGTGATGTGTATTACATCACTGCCTGCATTCCTCTGTCACTCTCCGGTACAGAAACCGGAGAGAAGCTGGTAAAGCAGGTCTCTGCTTCATCAGCTTCTCTGGGGGTCCCTAGGTGACATTAGGGGTCCTAAAGACCCCTGATGTCTCCATAAAGAGGACCTGTCACTGCAAATTGGCTATAACATAGGGAGCTTGTTTGCTCCCTATGTGATAGCAATAAAGTTTAGTGAAAAAAAAAGGTTTAAAAAAATTAAAGTTACAAAAAAAATTAAAAGTCACATATCAAAGCAAAAAACATTTTTTAAGTCCCCCGCCCCCACATGCACACGCAAACAGGCATCAAGTCCGCCTACGTGCGAAAACGACGATTACATCCATTGCTCCGCACATGTTACATATCGCCGCGAACGTCGGAGTGAGAGCAATAATTCTAGGGCCATCAATCACTGATAACACTAAACTGATGAGCGTAAAAGCTTTTAAAGCGTCGGCTGTGGTCAATTTTGAGTATGGTAGTTTTTTGCGATTTAGCGGGTGCACGCAATTTTAAAGCTTGACAAGTTTGGTGTCTATTTACCTGACGTGACCCCGTCTTTTATATTTTACCAAAAATGTAATGGTAATAATAAATGTTTTATAACATAACGTATGGATAACAGGTTTTTTTTCAAAATTGTCGGTACTTTTTTCATTATATAGTTAAAAAAAACCCTGCAGTGGTGATTAAATACCACCAAAAGAAAGCTCTATCTGTTCCCAAAAAATGGTATAAAATTAATTTCAGTACCGTACAATCCAAAACAATAAGCAAATCCTCGCAAAAGGAAAATTGGATAAACACCAATACAGACTCATCACCGCAGACTAACAAGTCAAGACAGCCACTCATAATCTACAGAACAAATGTATCCATCTATGGCACAGATGACTAGGGCACCAAAACCCAGAAGCCAGAAAGGACATTATAAAGAGAGGCTTATCAGCAGATATAACTGTACTGCCCTGCCAAATGCTCATGACATGCAATTGCTGCATGGAAGCAAAAGCCACATGCACCCCATTATACCTGGCTCAGTGATAGCCGCAGCTGAGATTCATACACCCTTGCTACAGGCATACACCACCACACTATACACATTCTTGAACAAAATGGTGTAGCAGAATGGAAAAATCGCAGTCTCATAGAAATGCCCAGATGCATGCTGTCAGATGCCAACCTACCTAAGAAGTATTGGGGAAAAGCAGTCATGACTGCAACATACAGTACCTACAGAGAAAACAACCTTCAAAAGCTGTTGAAAGCACCTCATTTGAAATGTGGCATGGATCAAAATTTAGCCTTGGGCACACCAGAGTTATGGGTTCCAACAGAGTCCAGTCAATGAAACAGCAAAAGGATCTGGGATGGGATCTCTCTCTCTAGAGGTAAGGCTTGCAAAGGTTCGATTCTTGATCTTCGAATGAGTGCTTCTTCTTTGATGGTACATGAGAGCCTCTTCTTGATTGTAAAACAAGAACTTCTTAGCTGCCTTGTGCAGCAGCTTTTTGTGGGCCCTCTAGGGGGTGTCACTGAGCCAGCCCCTCACCCAATCAGGCTCTCCAGGAAGAGAGGTAGAGCAGGGGGCTGACATGTTTTATGATTCCTTACCAGCCCCTCCCAATCTGTCAATTTAATTACAATAGTCATATTTTTTATAAACTTACATAATACCACCCGATAAACTATAGATTATTGTGCGTTATGAAATTAGCTTTATACAGATACCAAACGTGACATACCCATGATGTATACCTCCCTGCGAAGGGGAAATGTAGGTCTCTAGCCCTCTGCACCTTCTAAACCCACCATGTCTGTTATGTTTGTGCTCAGGATCACATGGCACAGATACATATACAGTATATAGAAATATATATAGAAATATATATAGAAATATATATAGATATTTATATATATATATATCTATATATATTTCTATATATATTTATTATTAATGTATTACCCCCAGGTCCAAAGTTATAAATACTGAGTGAAACTTGGAATCTAATGTTACTGCCAGAGGTGAGATGAGGGTCAGTTGCTCGTTATCATTGCAGGTGTTCTTTGGGGGATTAACTGAGGCTTCCCATTCATAATTAATTGGTATACTGGCTTTTATTATCCCTGCCATAAAACCATTACTCAGCCAGGCCTGAAACAACAACTCGGGTGCTTGGCAGACTGTGGAATGTGAAGGATCTTCTTTTGATGATCCTTTGACCAGAAACACACAGATGTTTGATTTGTATCTAATTTAATCATAACTAGAAGTGATAAATTTCAACAAACTGTGGGAACAATGGAATTCACTAATTAGTATTGGGGTGCCCAGGCCTATTTACCATTACAGTGTATTAAAATGTTGTTGTTGTTGTTATTATTATTATTATTTGTATTATTATGGATTCATAATTTGTCAACAGTTTGCCAACAAAACTCAAAATCAATTAAACCACGCAGGGAACTGTGCAAATAACTCCAGTGATGGCAAGCTGCAGTACCCAGAAAGTATAATCACTTCCCCCAAAAATGCAATATCTCTTATACTGCGTTATACCAATAAATATTCTAAATATAAATATTCTAAATGTGCAAATTATTTTAAATATGATAGATGCATATCACAGAAAGACAGTTATAAACTTTTCTATATAGTCACACATGCATATAAACTCCTTGTGTACAAAAATATTCAAATAATGTGTCCCATGCGTCCTTTGTGTAACACCCACATTCATAAATTCGTGATTCGATCCTCCAAAATAGCTGCATGATTAATCTTCCCAAAACCACTGTGCACCTTATTTCCTCCAAACACACTCACCAGATAGTAGGTTTTATGCGCTTGTATCATAGGAACCACAGATTTCTTTCCTTGTTCGTCTCTCCAGATGACACAAATCATTAGGGCAATTCCAGCCCTCTCCCTCTCCTCTCTATAAACGTCTCTCAAAAACCACTCATTTCAATACTGATAGGAATCCACTTCCATACGAGGGTGTAATCCACCTCCTTCTCTACTCAGAAATAATTCCCAATGAGAGGCAATTGACTTTTAAAAAACTTTTTTAAACCTTTTTTCTTATTTAAATTTTTTTTAAATGTTAAAACATTTATTTTAATTGTATTTTTGTAAACTAGGGGGCACTAAGGGGTGATTTTTTTAATTAACAAGGGCTTTGATGCTTCGTATTTCTAAATAGAATCAATGTATCAATTTCTTTGTATCAATTTGCAAACACAGCGGCTAGCTGTTTACAAAACACAGCTGACAGCCGCCGGCTGTGTAACTGTCACAGCTCTGCGATCACAGCGATCAGCTCTGGCGACCTGAACTGCTGTTGAAGGTCTGCCTTAGACCCAGAGGGACACATCAACAGCAGTAACTCAATGAACTGCTGGTTCCTTCACGGACCAGCGTTCATTGTATCACATGACAGGATTATTCCGTCACCTGTCTTTAACGAACTGATTGATGGTGACGGGAAAATCCCGTCATCGGTTGGGAAGAGGTTAAAGTAGAGGTCTGTCAAGTCAGTCCCTACAATTAACTGTTCAATCACCTCTCCTGACTACCTCATCTATGTAAATAAATCTGTGGTTTCTCAATATATAAACATATAATAAATGTTTCAGAAAATATGTAAATCTTTTTTCCATTTTATAATGCTCAGAGGAATTTCATACATCATATATTACTCTGATAGGGAGTTTTTTTCTCCTATCATTTGAAAGGGGGTGAGGATTCCCCTATATGATATTTAACCCGGTCTGACCGTTTAGGCATTCCACCCTTATCAGGGCCAAGTAGTCTATAATTTGATTATATAAGAAGTGGAAAAAGTTCATAATAACAAGTTGTTCTCTGAGGACTTTCAGGTGGACAGTTTCCCCCATTATTCCTGGAAATTCTTCAAAGTTCAATATCCCTACTTTAATCCATCTTTCAAAAATCCTATATATTCATCCCTTATATAATAAACCTAAGATTCCCTGTAACAGGTAAAAAAAACCTTGAATTCTGGATATTAAAGTAGCTTTACACTCTCAAACTTTGTTTACCATAATAGATCCAGATCAAACAAATATACATTGCCCAGCAAAGCATTGGTTTACACTTTTGCCCAAACACAATCATCATGTTTCTGAACAGCTGCTTCCAAGTCTCTCAGCTCAGCTTCCCTGTCCAGTACTAGTTCACAAAGGACAGTGAAGACTCCAGCAACTGGTCATCTACTAGCCTGGTGAAGGGAGGAGCAGGGAAGAGGGGAGTAGCTTGATTTGCTGTGTCTGTGTGTTTGTGTAATCTATGAGAGCTCAAGAGATGGAGGCTCTCATAGATTAGAGTTAGGACCCAACTATCCAGAGCGGTCTTGATGTTGCCTGTGCGGCTTTCACATATTTTGCAAAACGTGTGCAACTAAAACCTCTGTTTTTAACCTTAGTAATAAGGCAGTGCATTCTGGGGGCTGGCTGGTGAGTGCGCTGGGAAATGTTTGGTTTTGTATTGTGTAAAGCCCTTCCATGTGCACCTTGCTTTAGAGCTGGTTCTGAATTGATGAGTGCCTTTGCCATTCGTTTCACATGTTTGGTTGTGGAGACACACACAACTTAATAGCACACACAAGGGTGACTGCATAGCACTTGAGAAAAAAGTCACTCTAAAACAGGAAGTTAGCACAAGGGTTGGGCTTGATGTTCCTGATGTACCCTGATGTGAAGAAGCCCCCTGCCCGCACCCCCATCTTTAAAAACCCAGTACTACTTATCATTAGGAATGTAATGTGTTATGTATGGAATGAAGGAAAGAAGCGATATACTCAAAATGTTCTGCTGTTCAACTATTTATTATCAAGCTGATCTCATTAAACATTATAGGTGAAATAAAATTCAATGCGACAAGTTTGTTTCTCTTCAACATCGTTTCAGAAAGTGTTCTCAGTTTAGACGTTCTAAAAGCAAAAATAGATCACGTTAGTTGGTAAATTCATTGAACTACTGTAGATACAGTGTATAATAGTCAGCATACTGAGCAAACTCCTTTCTTGTTCATAAACATAACTGTACCATTTATTAGACATGTAACTACGCAAAAATGTTTTGTTTTTCTTGTCGGATCAATTTGAATTTTTATTTCTTCTTTTTTTCGGATCCGGGATCCGAAATTTGATTTGTTTCGTTATTTGGATTTCAGATCCGTCCGAATTGTCGTTTTGGAATAAAGTCACATGACCGTGCCTGTAATGCAACCCCAACATCCGAAAAAAACATCTGCTAGGCCAGAGAACAGTCACATGTCCGATTTAGTTTTGTTTTATACGAAATTCGAACGGATCTGAATTTTCGTTAAAGGAGCATTTAGATTTATTCACATTTGGACTCGTTCAAATTTCCAAAATTCAGATGCATTCGAATGTCTGAATTTAACGAAATTTGTGTGAATATCTATTTGGAACAAAACGAAATTTACGTGTCTACCATTTTACAGATTATGCAGCCAGCACTAAATTTCTTCTGCTTCTAGTTAGGTTCTCTCCTATAAAAGGTGAAAGCTCACAACTCTCAAATGCTCTTTTTTTTTACCATTCACCTGTCAGCAATGACAGATGAATGAACCAGTAAAGACAGTAGCTACATGCATAACAGGGTCAGGGTAATTCCTATCTGAAATGCCTTAATCAAATAGTGGAGAATTTCTACAAAGTGGTCTTCAATTAAACATTGCCATAAAAACAGCTGTGTGACTTAGCCCTAAGGCTCCTTCCACACGGGCATCTTCCGTTCTGAGCAGCATAGAATGGTGCAAACTGAACGGACCATACATTTTTTCCCACCATCTTGCAATGAAGGAAAAAAAATGAAATTACCAGACCCATATTAGTCCTATGTAAACGGACATGTGACATGTGTCCAGAGAGGTATACTTATTAGCATGTGACAATTTATTTTTGCTGAGCTGTGAAAATTAAAGTATATGGGTATTATATATTGATGACTTACGCTGTTGATCCAGGAATTGTAGGCAGATACTCTGGTGAACACAGATGGTTTCTGGAAGTAGTTGCATCCAAGAGAGGACCCAAAGCTGACAATACCATGGACTTGGTATGAACCACCGACAGAACAGTTCAGGGGTCCACCAGAATCACCCTACAGTTATATGAAAAGAAAAACAATATTGCTAAAATCACTGCAATCACTTGCTGCATAATTCACATTTATGAAACATGGAGTCCTATATCCTTATGATTTGACAATATATAGAGTGGCCAAATGTTTCCAGGATTGCAAAGTGTCTTGTGTTTATAGGATAGCATCTAAATCAAATTCAGATAATAAAATTGCTGCATACACATATATATACAGTAGAACATCTAGAAGTTAACATTTTACAAATTATGCAGTGATATAATTATTAATTGCAAAATTCTATATACTGTAGGAAGTATACGGAAGTTTATCAATAAGCCTCAGGGTGTGTTCTGTTCTTAGATTAGGGGTTCTGCCTGCTTTTTCCTTTGCTACATTATGGTTATCCTTGTATGTATGTATTTTTTCACTGTGATCTCAAAGATTGTAAAGTGATATGAGACGTTGTTTTCTGCCACTATATAGTTAAAGCATTCTAGAAATAATATTATTTCTGATAATGATAATAGTAACAGCAATATTTAAACTGGGGATCTCTTTTCTATTCTATAGAAGCTCCAAAGAAAAACATGCAGTATAGACAAAAAACTCACGTTGCAGGATGACCTGACTCCATCACCACCGGCGCAGATCATGGAGGTCTTAACTGTGCTCCCCCACCAGGCGCTCAGGGAGCAGGTAGCTTGGGCAACCACAGGCAGAGTGACCTGCTGGAGAATGGTGGCCAGAGCACCGCCAGCTGAAGACAAAGAAAGGTTTGTGTTACAGCCACTGAAATATAAAGCTTATGCCCAGGAGAACAAATGATTTGCAGATTTTGCTGTGGGGATCATGCAATTCAGGAATGTACACAAACATAATTTATAAATAGTATGATTTCCTGCAATCCTACTGGCATAAATACAGGTGAGTCAAAAATATTGCAATTCCAATTATTTGATTCTCTTATTGCTATTCATACTTCCACCCCGCGTACTGACTTAACCCTTTCCCTGCCACTGCCGGCACCACTTTCACCATGCGCCAGCACCTGCAACCTCTCCTCCCGGCCTGGGTCCGCTCCAGGCTGGGATTTGTTTCTCCTTGAATCCCCGCCGCTCTCCCCTGCCTTTATGGGCTGAGGCAGCGAGGATCTGATGAGAAATGACCGGAGGGGGGGGGGCGGAGGAGGGAACCAAAAGTTCAGGATGTTCAGGATGGCTGAGCGGTGTGCAGATCAGAGCCGCCGGGTGTAAAATCCTGGATCTCCGGTGACTCTGTCATCTGTGCGTGGCCGAGCGGGTCAGATGGCTGAGCAGGAGGAGTGGTAAATATGTGTAATATTTACCGATCCTCTGTGCAGAGCAGACACTGAAGTGATCATCTGATCACTCCAATTTTTGTAAACAACTGGGGACACATAGAACTATGTGTCCCCAGTTATGAATGAACAGGAAGTGCTTTACATCACTTCCTGTTCATTCATGAGTTTCTCAATGGGTGGAAGCCTCAGTATAAAGAATTCTACAGATCATAATAAATAGGCTGCAGAAAAAGAGATTGAGGACTCTGTGTCCCCAATTTCTTTTTCTATTTCCAAAAGGAAATGTCAGGGGTCTGTTTAGACCTATGACATTCCCCTGAAGCACCCCAACAAATTATTAAATAATAAAAAAAATATATGTATAACACAAACCCTCCCCTTCCTCCCCCCCGCCTCCCACACATACATAACATACACATGTACCATGTTGTGGTGTACACCATGCACATGTTATAAAAGCGCACGGCAAAGCATTTTGACGCATTGCCGCGCATTATGATACGCTAAAGTTGCAGTTTAATGTATGCTTGTATCATTTTATCACAACACAAACAACACTACAGTGCACAAATGATTTTTAACATAAGTAGCTTTTTTACAGTTTAGCAAAGAGGCGCAATTTAAAATTTACAAATATTTGTTATTTATTGACTCAATACAGTTTTTTATCTTTTAGATTTAGTCATAAAAAGATATATGTTTTTGTGCTGATACTGATACTGATTTCAGTTTTAGCTTTATCAATTCAATTGTGTATTTTTATCGGTTTAATATTGATTTGATAAACATTTACGCAATTATCACAGGGCCTACAAATTTAGTAGCACCATCTTTTTATTCTACTGGTACTGTGCTTTTGGAAAATATATGGTTTGCAGGGCCTTTTACAAAAGCTAGAAAAGCAGCAATAGAAAATCAAAACAATGGGAAAATGTGCAAAAATGGTGTGGCCAGCTGCGGTGTAAAGTGTTCCGGAGGGCTTGGCAGCGAAAGGGTTACTGGATAACCGGTGTGTCATATTTCCTTTTGACAATTCAGGTCAAATAAGTAATTACGTTTTTTTTCTTTTACAGACTGCATCCCAAAAAATAAACATGCATTTATATTTCACTTATATTTATTTTATTTCCCTTTTTACATTCCCCATATAAATATGTATCTACATTTATGTTAAATATAATGGGAGTGGAGCTGGACATTAAAATACATGTTCCTGAAGTGGAAATGACACAGTGGTTCAAACAGTGGAATGAACAACTGGAAGTCCTGAATGCAATATGCTCTTTACCTTGCATGATTTTTATTTATGAAGCCAGAAGCAGACCTAAACAGATGACTACTGACAGTAAATCTGACTGTAAGGCGGTTTTCAAGGGAAGAACAGTAGTCCCGTGGATATTTGTGACTCCTTTGAAGTTGCGCCTATATTCTCAGATAGCCAAATAAAAAATATTATGCGTACATGAACAACAAGTTTATCATAACACATAATACCTTTTTTACATTTAACCCAGCTCAAAAAATAGAACTTGTCAGGGAGCCTGTAGCACTAGTTCTAAATAGTTGAGGAGATACATTCTGAACCAAGCTAAAATCAGATAGCATATCTATTTCAAACACGTTAACACTGCTTCCCTTTTCAAATGGATCTGTGCAACAAAGTTGTTCAACCCCCTCCCGACTATATTAACAAAACTGTGGGCCTAAGTTTACCAAAGAACAGAATCAACACTTACTACTGGTTCTTCCCCAGCCAGTGACAACGCAGTTGTAGTTGTGTGCCAGGATGTAGCCACTGCTTGGCAGAGAAGCCGCTCTCACAGATGTGTTCAAGGTAGCGCTGGAGGCCAGCCACAGGATAGCAATATCAAAACTGTAAATTATACAAGGTAATAGACATTTATACTGGTGCCTTACACTCATAAAAAACAGACAACCTATAATGACATGTAGAGTTAGGGCAGGGGTAAACCTCCTATCCATCGCCCATGTACACAGGGGCTAAGCAGATAACATGGAGGCCTTGCGCAGCAGAGCTAAGGTCTGGAGCTGAACTTCCATCAAGCACAAAGCATGGAGTTTAGGGATGTTCAGATACCAGTTCAGATACCAGTGCCGATACTTGGCATTTTCACGAGAACTACCAGGGTTGCAGCGATTGCAGTTGTGACAGGGCCCTGGCGCTCCACCACTGTCCTGAAATCATTAGTCTGCATCCCTAATATATATATATATAAATAAATCATACATTAAAACTGGGATGCACAAATCCCAGGAGCCCCGTAGCCAATGCTCCTTAAAAATAACAGCTGCCTCCTAACTTTTGAATTTTTCTCTAGTCTAGTCTTGGAGCTGGAAAAGTATCTGTACTTGTACTTGTACCAGGTATGGTACTTCGGTACTTGGTATCTGAACATCCATATTGGGGTTTGTTTGAGGTTCTAATATTTTTTTTCTTGAATTTCTCCTTGGTGCTTTGTTTTCCCTCCACAATCAAAAAATAAAGTTGTAAGTTAATTGGCTTCCATCAAAGATGTCCCGAGGGGTTTGCGTGCCTATATAACTGTGATATACATCAATGTTAGACTGTAGACTATTTTGGAGGCAACTACTGTTATGAATTGTTCTATGGTTTAAAAATAATTCAAACTAAAAGGATCTATTTGACATTGTTAATTGGTTCTTTTACAGGATCAATGCTGGTCATATACTGCTTGCGCTGTGGGCGGCCCAGTAAGCACTACCTGGCTCAACAGAGGTCATTTTTCAATTGACTTTTGTCAAGGAGCCGATTGCAAAATTGTTGGCCAGAATGTAACTGCCATTTAGATGCAGTCGCTGTTTGGTAGTGAGCAGATGCGGGTCCCACCAGCTGCTGAATACAATAGCTAGCAGGGGAGATTCCTTCATTCACTTCATTCACATTGTCTAGTGTGGATGAGAGAATCGATTGCATTATCTTGTTCAGCCCCCAGGGCTCAACAAGGGAAATCTTAAGTTGTATATCTAGTTTAAGGCTAGCAGTCCTATTTACCAGCATAAAATTAGAGGTCCAGAGAAGTCTGCCAGGTTTATAAGTGTTGTTAGAAAGCAGAAACCTTACATTAAGAGATGCCAGAGAACTTACAGTAGGTCTTTCATATTTGCCACATGTCTAGGTAAACCATTTCTATTGAATAAGGTTCTGCATCTTAAAAGTTCAGAAACGTGTGAGAGTTGTGTTGAAATTGGAACACGTGTAAGGTACTCTGGGTTATACTACTTATTACAGGCTTCTTATTAGTGTATGTAAGCTATATATACTATAGTATGTAGTGAAGGAATATGAAATAGAAAGTCTGCTGTAACATATACATGTACCCTAAAGACGATTTGTAAACGTTTATGTTGTACATAAGGCCATTCCATCCACTTTTTATAAAAAGTGTAAAAAATGTATATGACTGTGGGGAAGCAATAACAGATCTACTGCCATGTTTCAGCTTTTTACCCGGCAGCGACATTGTTGGTGTTCCAGCTAGCATGCTTCCTAATTGAAGACACGGCGATGTTCTGTTCAGTGCCATCGTTAGCGCTAAGGCTGTATTCTCCCAGGCCAACACGGTAGGAAACAACTCTATGGACAAAAATAAAACAATAAAATAAAATTAGAGATTTTTTTTCTATTACTAGACATATTCTGAATTACATGGGGCAATGAACATTTTTGCTCCAACATCTGTGTATAATAACCATCTGTGGGAACATCATACATCGACTGGCCTTCTGATCTGTATATCTGATGTCAGAGGTGATTGCCCCTTGTCAAAGCAGACAGAGCACAGGCAGAAGATGTAATTTATGTATTAGCATTGTCAGTGAGGTTACCCTAGAATTAAGTTATACAGTAAGCTATTTTACATGCAAGCCTTGTGACACCTAAAGAGACACTGCCACCTTTTGCCTATTCAGGGTGTAAAGGGGCTCCTCTTCCACTGCTATTTTCCATGCCCACACTCCCCAGCTCCTTCCTCCATTGTGCCCAGCACCCAATTCAACAGGCTTGGATGGCATCAGATACTAGGGGGAGTGGTGATGTCAGTCTTTCTGTCATGCATCAGTGCCTCTTTTCCTGCTAGTCCGCTTTAATGCACTTCATAAATGTTATATTAAGGAATGTGGACAAGTAATTGATAAAATAAACCTTTAAAGTCTCCTTTACCTTGATTACCTAAAATTAAACTCACCCAAATGAGGCTAATTTTCACAGTGGTCTTTCTCTGTGATGTAGCTCATTAAGTCCACATTCACACTTGTGTAGCATGACATTGCATGTTGCATTTTTGCAGGTTTGTTGCACATTGGGCAGCCCTTTCTTTTTAATGGGCTTCCCTACATGCGGCAAAGTAACTCATGCACCTTCTGAAGTTTCAACATGTTTTTTACGTATTTGTTGCAGGTGTTTACTTGGCACATTTGGGGTGCTATTACACACATCTCTGGATTTTGCATGTACTACACAAGTGTGACTGGGGACCGATTTTATATTTGTTAACTGATTTGAGCTGTCACTGGACAGCTCTGATCACAGGCATGATGTACAAAACCAGTTGTCCTTAGTAAGAACTTGTACAACAGAAGATGACACTGCAGAAGGAATAATATTAGTAATAATAATGATAATAACAATAATAATAATAATACCTGTCCACACAGTGAGCAGCAGTCAGGACACGGTTAGCACTGATCAGGGAACCTCCACAGGTGTGGTACCAGCTGCTGCCAGACAGGTACTGCAGAGACACCTGAAGGAATTAAAGAGCAGAAATGTCAATTTGCTAGAAAATAAAACAATGGAACCGGTTTATAAAAATTATAAAGCAGAATCGAGACAGAGGTGTTGCCAGAGTGTGCAAGAATTCAAACATTCGAGCTATCACTTTCTCCAACAATTGGTCCCCACACAGCTTCCATCTCTTGTATCACTTGCCCCTCCCTTTTAGACTGTAAGCTCTCACGGGCAGGGTCCTCCTAACCATCCTGTCTTGATATGTATTGAAACTGTAATGTCTTCCTTATATTGTAAAGTGATGCGCAAACTGTTGTCGCTATATAAATCCTGTACAATAATAACCTGTGAATCAAGTGTGTTCATAAGTTCAAGCACTGCCCAGCAGTCAAAACCATAGACACAGTATGATAGGCAGAAGGCACAGTCCAGAACCATGTGAAAAGAGTCTGCAGTCCCACCCAATAGAACTGTGATGAACCTGAATAAATTGACTGAAAGCGATTATATAAAACTCTGATTGAAAGTCATTTGTGTGCGTTTCTTTCTGAATTCAGCCATATGCATCTACTGTTAAAACTTTAATTCTGAATATGCATTCTCTCAGCCTAGACACATTTCTGTCACTTCCTTTTCTGTTTGACTAATTCTGTACAGATAGGTATAAACAGGTCATAGAACAAGCGTGGTAGTTTAGAAAGACTTCCCCTCAACAAAATCATAGATATAAAAAATTTAGAAAGCATTGTATAATGGGTACAGATCATTCATGAAAAATTTCACATCGATGACTTAATTTTGTGCTTGGACGTAATTTACCTGCCATGGCCAGGCATTCCTAGCTACATTGGAGCCTCCTACCACACGACTATTGTCATTGTCCTCAAAATAGCGGATGTCACTATCGTCACAGTATCCTTTAAATTAAATAAAAAATGTTGTTAATAAAACCCCCAGTGTATATGTGAATACATTATGTAATTATAAGTGGAACACCTGCATCAAGGGCACCTCTTATTTAACATTTCAATACCAATGTTTCTTTACCCTTTGGTGGTTGTGGTAGGAAAACAGTTGGGCCTAAACAACTAGTGAAATATAAACACATAATTAAAAACAAAAACCTTAATTCCGTGATTTGCACACTTTTAACCACACTACAACAATGTTCCTGCTACAAAGCATCATGAAGTTATTTATATATAGCTTTATTTTTTCAATTGTGTGGTAATTTTTGTTTAATAGAACACTAAAAAAAGCAAAATGAGTGGAAACTTTATGCTCGTACAAAAGATTTAAAAACTCACAAAATAGGTTATATATAAAAAATCAAAACTGTCCTGCCTTTCAGGCCTGGCTCACACCTAGACGTTTTTGAGCAGTAGGAAAAGCGCTTTTAAACGCCCAACACAAGAAGTCCAATGATTTTTCAATGGCCCCTGTTCACACCTGAGCAGCAAAACGCTGGCAGGAAAATGCCAAACGCTGAAAAAAGTTTGAATGAGCCTCTTTTGGCAGTTTCAAGCTCGTTTTTCCTGTATAGACTTCAATGGAAACACCAGAAAAAGCACGTCAGAAGCATGTTGCACATTTTTGTATGCGTTTTTGCGCGTTAGTCCATTGACCGCAATGTTTCTTTAAGCTGCCAGTCAAAATGTGTGTCTTCCTGTGCATGCGCTTTCACGCACGTAAAAATGTGCCAAGCGTGCATAAACTTGCAAATAACGGCACACTGAACCCACGCGTACAAAACTGTAAAAAGTTTCTAACAAGAGCTTTTTTTTTAAAGCTATTCAAACTGTTTAATAGCATTAAAAGCTTCAATTTGCTTTTGTTGCCGAAAATAAAGAACATTACGGCAAAAATTATTGCTACAATATACTTGAGGGCCCAACTACACTATAGTGTTGCGACACACGTTACATGTGTTGATTTTGAATGACACACCAACGCACTAAGGGAACATGCATGCATTGCAATGTGCCACAATGCACTAAACACAAAGTAGCTGCCTTAAATAAGGCCTCCGGGCTGAAATTTTATTAACCCTTACAGAGGGGCAACCCGTGCACTGCGATGGTTAACTGTTAATTTTTGCCTAGGGTAAAAATAAAAGATATACTCACATAAACCTCCAAGCCGGCTGGCTCTTAGACTGGTCCCTAGAGCATCTCTCCCCCTCCTCTGCAGCGGTCTAGGAATCCTAGAGTCATCATGTCCAACACAGTGTATAGGATGTGAGGACGCTGAGGGACATAACATCACTGCAGCAGAGGAAGAGAGAGGCTGGAGGGAGCATTGTCCGCTCAGAGGTTCAGGTGAGTATAACTTCTTTTTCCTGTCCCCTAGGCAAAAATTATCAGTTTACCCTTGCAGTGGGGGCTAATGTTAATAACATTTCTGCCCGGAGTTCTTCTTTAATGCAAAGCATGTTAACGCTGAAAAAGTAATGTCAAATGTTATTTTTTATTTGGGATTAAGTAGGTAATGTTTAAAACCCGGGTCAGTTTTTTTTGTCATTGGTGTCTCACTGAGGAGATTTTATATCCTGCTCTGTAGACATAGCAGGAAGTAAAGGAACCTCTTAAACGTGTGAGAATTCCCCTCTTAGGCAGTTGTTACCAGAATAAGTGTACCCAATGAAAGATTTCCTCTTCCTTCCTTCTCCTTTTTACCTCTTCTGGTGACAACTCAAAAGTTTAGATTTCCCCCCACTTTCAGTCCTGGTGACAGTGGTTACCAGGATAAACAGATACAGTGGACCTCCCCAACTAGGAAACAGACAATAAGACCTTGACGGAGATTCCAACCGATCCATACTCTACCCAAAACAAAAAAATGGCTATGCATATACTGCAGTTTAAAGTGCTAGACCAATGTGGGTTCACTATGATTTTTAGCTGATATACTAAACGAGTTGAGAAACAATAAATTGTGTGAATATTCACATGAATTAACCAAGCATGCGTACATGAAATACCTAAACAGGAACATTCTTTTCACAAAATTGGATAATTGAAACATTCACACAATTTTCTGTGTGAAGTATTTGAACCCTTAAGTAAGTCTGCTATCTGATTAGTAAATTGTAATACATGTGAGCTATGGGGGTTGATTTACTAACCTTTTAAACACACCACGAACGTGTATACACCTCTGTAGTGTGTTCCCTCCCAGCATGATCTATGGGAGGAATCGAAACACCTTTGTAGTGTGTACACACCCAGCAGGTGTGTTGTTCAAAGCCCTGCAATGAATTGCAAGGTAATGTGGTGTAAATTAGCTCTATGTTATGTTGCTTGCGTTGATGAATGCAGGAATGTAAATGCATGAGCTAACCATTTTTGTCTAAACTGTGAAGCAGCATTATATATGCATCATGTGCATGATTTTTCCATATATGGCATTAGTGGAAATATGCTTTTAGAGACTTTTTGGTTGATAAATACGTTTTGCTGTGTGAAAATCACACACACCTGGTGTGTGTGTGTGTTTAGGTTAGTAAATCAACCCCATGCTGTCTTATTTGCAAGTCTGTTGCTTTCCTAAATAAAATATTCCCAATTTAATTAATTAACCCCTATTTTATGCTTCAATTTATGTCAGCTAGAAATTTGCTACGTATAAAGAAAAGCACGTCTTACCGCAGAGGACAAGGGCAGCGAGTACCAGAAGCCTGAGCATTGTGAGAGAATTGCAGGGACAATCTACTGTGAATTCAAGCCTTAGCTGTCTCCTCTTTTATACAAGTGAGAAGTCAACAAGCAGTGAGAACCTTTCCAGGTGATGCAGGGAGAGCAGGTGGCAAGTTTGTTCTAGATTTCTCAAGGACAAACATTTTATATAGAGGTTAGCAAACAGAAAATGCAATAAACAGAAGAAGGTTATTGGGACATTTTCTAATATGGACATGTCGAAAGTTACAAATCTGCTGAATCATCATAGGAGATAGAGTAGGCCTTTTCACTTTCAAGACCTTGCAAGACTCATTATTGTATCTGGGGAGAGCAAGTTATTTTTGAAGAACTAAATATGATATTGCAGAGAACAGTAAAGTGTTCAGACCTCTAGGAAACATGTGGACTTACTTTCTAAAGTGGTCCAAGGTCCATAGGAGGCACTTCAGAGAGCCTGCTAACATTCTCAGATTATGTGCTAGACATCTAAGAATCCCCAAAAGTGAGTACACAATTTCTCAGTTGAAGCTTTTATGGGGGATTCCAAGACATTGACCGGATAACTGGGGATTTCCTCAGTGTATTCTGGCTTTATTTTGAGGTCTTCTGCCAGCCCATGGACCATTTTGTTTTATTAGGGCTTTTATAAATAACCTATACAGTGACAGATGTCCACATCTATCATACTGGCCATTATATGATATATAACTCAGGATCAGGTGATGAAAGTCAGAAATACTGGGGTGATTATGGACTGAACCAAGCACAATTAGTATATGTATGTTCACCTTTTTTGATTGCTCTATAGGAATTTCCAGCTTCAAAATGGTTATTTATTTATTTATTCATAGACAGTAGGGCCCACGCCTGAGCACAGTCTTTTTAACAGTAAACATGCAATATAGAGTACATAGAACTAGAAAGTAACATGCAAATCATGACATAGTGTATTTCATGGTGCTGTTGAATGCTAACGATTATCTTGAAGCCATCAAGATCATCCTGCAGTAGTAGCATGGAAGGGGTAAGTAAGTAACTAGGATCAGGGTGAAGAGAGAAGAATGGAGAGAGGGGAGTGAAGGTGTAACATATGGGGTAAATAGGGGTTTCCTCTGGGGGTTAGGGAGGTGGAGTAGTTAATTTCCAGAGGAAAGAAAAAAAATAAAGCATGGTTCAATTTAATCCAACGAAAAAAAATTCTTCCTGATCTCCTAAAGCAATCAGATATTCCGTGGATAAACAATCTCTGGTGTTTTTATAAAATGTTAATATCTAGTGATACTCTGTGCATTTAGGAATGCATCCAGATTTTTTTTAAAAACAGTTAACTGAGCTAGCTAGAATTAGGTAGCCTATTCAAAATGTTCACAGCTCTAACTGAAGAAGCCTTTCCGTATGCAAAAGTTAAACCTCTTCTCCTCCACATGCAAAGAGTGCCCCTTGTCCCTTGCAGTGACTTTAAAGTGAATTATTTTGCACCAAGTTCACTATATGGGCCATTCATTTCTTCTTAGGTGGTTATCATATCCACCAATAATTGCTTCTTCTTAAGAGAGTTTAGCTAATGCATGAGTTCCTCCATGCATCTTATGAGTTTAGTTACCCTTCTCTGAAATGTCTCCAGTTCCACAACATCCTTTTTGTGAACTGGTGCCCAAAACGGAAGTACATATACCAGATGCGGTCTTACTAATGGGACAGGATTATGTCTCTATCTCTGGAGTCTACCCATAATAATACAAGAAAGTATTTTGCTTGCTTTAGAAACTGCGGTGGTTTGAACCAAGCCCGTCAGTGACAAGGCAAATTGCCTAGTCTTGTGTTGGGGCTGCTCTGAAACTAACACCCAGTGCAGCCCCAACGCATGTGGTGTGCATCAGCCCTGAAAAAAGAAAGAGAGTGCTGGGTTTAATTAGCCTGCCATCTTTTTAAAGGTAGGTCGACCATCATTTCTATTTCCAACAGTATTTAGAGCCTCAGTGGAGAGAAAGTGGCAAGCCTCAAAAGTGTCGTTGAATAAGAAGAGGCTAAACTGTTGATTGTCAATGCTGGGGATAAATGCTGGAATTATCAGTGAAATGTGAGTTGGATAGGAAGAGGCAAGTCATTGATTGCGCCACCTTCAAAGTTGTGCCTATCAGAAGATGGTTCTTAATATTGGAAGGGATATCACCCTTGCTCTAAAGAAGGGCAGATGCAATTTCCAGATGCAATCAGCTTTTGCAGGATGAATATTTACACCAGACAAACACTCATGTCAGATGCACTGCCTGATGGTATCATATAGAAGTTGGGAAGCCAAGACAGATTTGGGATATAACTGGATATTCACAGATTCTTGTAAGCCCATAAGAACTTAATAATTTCCCTTTTCAGAAATCGGAAGAAGGAGAAGTGTATATATGGGAAGGGTTTGGAGGAAGTATAGCACCCAGGGAAGGACATTCATTTTCAATATACTATTAGATCAAAACAGGTGTGGGAGTCTTTGTTGCATCATTTTATATCTTCATTTGTGGTCATTATAAGGGGAGCGACATTATCTCTAAATGTGTCCTCTGTGGAGAAAACTTCAAAAACAGGATGTCTTGCTGCACTCCTAAACAGAATAACCCCAAGCTGGGTGGGTGCTTGTAGTGACCACGGGAGCCACCGTGTGAATCACAGAATAAAGGAATAATGTCACCAGCACACCAGTTTTTTGTTAGTCAATGATCCATTTTAATGGCACATTGCCATCCAATACACAATTGTGTATTGGATGGCAATGTGCCATTAAAATGGATCATTGACTAACAAAAAACTGGTGTGCTGGTGACATTATTCCTTTACTCTGTGGAGAAAGTCATAAAAAAACTCTATATATTTTATTCTCCCTGAAGCCCATTTGAAGGGGAAATTGATTTGATGGTGAAAAGCTTTTGGGTAGGGTTGTTAACACAGAGCTTCTGATTTTGGTGAAATGTATTTTATAATTAGAGAATTTTGCATAGTTATCTAATTCTTCGAGTAGATTAGGGCTTGAGATTTAAGGTTTTGTTATAAATATGAAAGTAGTATTGAACTCTCATGGACTAAAAAAAGTTTATTTTAAGAATTGTATTAACTGCACTTTAAATTTTGTTTTCTAATTTTGCGACTGAACAGGTATTCTATCGTGGAGAAACTTGCCTGTTGCTGCTTCACTCTCCCTGCGCTTCACCAAACGTCTATAAGGGGAGCACTGTGCAAGTCACACAAAGCAGGAGCCGAGAAGCGGTAGATCAGTTAAGTCAGTCTACAAGCCGATGGGTGGAGTAGATGTCTGTTGCTACTGTCTGTGTCCCTGTGCGTGTCTGTTTCTACAAGTGCGGCTGTTGTCTAGGCTGAGAGCATGCAGATAAGGGTAGTTTCACTGTGGTGCAGCCCATAGCCACTGCGTAGATGGAAGTGAAAATTCACAGATATTTTAGTTCTGCCTTTGAAGAAAAGATGGCCCTGAAAAAGAAAGCATTTTGGAAACCCTGTAAGTGATTTTACCACACAATGTTTTGTATCTTTTGGGTTTAATAATACTATGGTGTTTTGTTGTTCCTTTTTGGCCAGAGATGTCAGGGTTGGCTCTAACATGTGGCGGGAGCAGGGAAGTTTGGGATCGCAGTTACCATGGATTCAAGGAGAAGCCTGTGGGTTCGAGATATGCAGTGCCAGTGAATTTATGTGCAGATTTGCCCAGGAGAGCCATAAGCCGTAATGCACTGCATGGCCTTTGAACTATAGCCACCGGGCTTATAGCAAAAGAGCATCATACTCACAGTGAAGCATGGTGGTGGCAGTATTATACGTTGGGAATGCTTTTCTTCATCTGGAACTGGGGCTTTAGTTAGGGTAGAGGGACTTATGAACAGTTACAAATATCAGTCAATTTTGGCAAAAAACCTTCAGGCTTCTGCTGCTGAAGATGGAGAGGAATTCCACCTTTCAGCATAACAACAACCCAAAGCATACCTCCAAATCAACAAATGAATAGCTTCACCAGAAGAAGATCAAAGTTTTGGAATGGGTCAGCCAGAGAACCAGGGCCGGATTTACTCTCCCTGCCGCCCCAAGGCCAGGTCCTGTGATGCGCGCCCCCCCCGGGGAACCCCCCGCGCAAACCTCCCCTCCCTTCCCATCAATGGAGAATGGCAACCAGATGGCAGGGCAGCGGGGTTAGTGTCAATTATTTTTACTGTTTCTT